TTTGTCCAAAAATTGGGAAACTCCACTTAACCTGTACTTCCTGTTTTCTTATCTTTAAAAAGGAGTGACTTCTGTAGTGAGTGTAGGGGGGCACATAGCCCTATACTCAAGGGTTTCCAGGGATGAGGAAAAAACTAATATCCTTTTGTCCCTGCTGGTGGGCTCACTTAGGAGCAATGCATGTTCGAGGTAAACGTGGGGTTGCACAGATGGGAAGAGAAGAGAGATGGGAAGAGAAGAGGGATTTTCAGGTGGCTTTCAGCTGATGCATTCAATTTGCCAAGAGAGGGGAGGTAGTTGGGATTCGTGATATGAAGGAAATGTGCAGGGAGGGAGCAACAGTAGCAAAAACTGCAAAGCTATGAGCTAGAGAGGAAATGCAGGAGGGATTTCAAAGCAGAGTATAGGCAAAGAATGTCTGGCATACAATCTGGAGAGGAAAAAGATGGGGAAAGGAAGTAGGAAGTGAAAGCTGAGGGAACTGGAAAAGAAAGTGAACATGTGGATGATTTGGAAGCTGTCCTCAAAAAGTAGAAATGTGGCTAGGAATCTGTACAACACAAACTAAAGGGAATCTAATGTTTGGGGCAGGAGAGGAAACACCTGCCTAAGAAGGTGAGAAGTCAGAGCTACACCTAGACCAGAAGATTCAGGCACATTTATAGACATCATTATGATGAGAAAAGAACATAGTATCTGTAAGTTTCATCCAAAATAAAAGAAAACATGTGGAGCAAGAAAAGAAAGAACAACCATAAAACCAATGTTCTTTTTAGAACTTGCTAGAATCACAGTAGAAATATTGAAGTTCTTAGATCAGTATCTTTTAAATATATCTGAGGATAGCTCCTCCTATTTTTAATTTTTAATTTTAAAAAAAATTTTTTGAGACAGGGTCCTGCTCTGTTACCCAGGCTAGAGTGCAGTGTCATGATCACGGCTCACTGCAGTCTCAACCTTTTGGACCCCAGTGATCCTCCCACCTCAGCCCCTGAGTAGCTGGAATCAGAGGCTCGTGCCACCACACCCATCTGCTTTTTTGATTTTTAGTAGAGAGGGGTCTCACTATGTTGCCCAGGCTGGTCTAGCACTTCTGAGCTCAAGCAATCCTCCTGCCTCGGGTTGTCAAAGTGTTGGGATTGCAGGCGTGAGCTACCACTCCCAGTCCTCTTTTTCATTTTTAAAAAACCTTCTTTAATATCTTGTGGAACTATAATTTAAGGAACATAGTTTGTAAAATGTTAAGTTGGTAGCATTAAGGTGGACTTTTGCACCCCTGAATTCCATCTTTCCAAATTTTAGTACTTTTTGGCTTTTGAATAATGGCTAATAACTCTTGTGATTCTTGGTACTTTCACCATGCCTGCCTATATGCGACCTCTGTTAGGGTATGAGCTGGAAACTCAGGCTTGTTAGAATTTTGCCTAAATAAGTGTCATAGGATTTTGAGCATTGGCTTTAGAGACTTTTCCATAAGCAAATATATGAACTTGGCACCCTGAAGCTTTTGTAGCTATTTTGACTGCCCGCAAAATTTTTCTTGCTTACTTACTTGGTTCTTAGCTTCCATTCGGAAGGCAGAACTTTCCAGCTAATTGGCCTCCAAATAGTTGAAGCGTGATTGTATTATTGCTACTAATAATATTGGCATTGCTTAAAAGCAACAGAACAAGTCTGCAGATTATACACTGCAGAGGCCCTTTAAAGAAACAGTTAATCCAGAGATTAGGCGGCATATTTTGAGGACTTTTTCAAATTTTTGTCATGCACACACACTCATCTGATGTTTGCAACAGTGTTGAGCATATGATTTGTGAAGTGATAGTGAACCTCAGTATGAGAAATACGTGACCACCTACTGGTGAGGCTACAAAGGCAGAAATTCAGCCATGATCAAACAAACAAATGCATTCTTTCCACATATTCATGAGACAAGAGTGCACGCTTGCTTGTGGAATTTACAGTTTTCCACAGGTGGATTTGGTGGAGGCATCTGACTGGGGATGTTTCTATGTCTTTCACTGTTTACATCTTCTTATAATAAAATTTAAACAAAGAAATACAGTAGGCCTCTTGCCATGGAATTAGATTCTATCAAAAAATTAATTCTTATCACTAGTCCCAGTGGTTACACCCAAGATGTCTTTTTGGGTATGTTTAAGGCAGGATACTTCAGGGTCCAATTAGTTACATGAAAGGAAAATAAATGCTAACATGAACACGGCCAAAGGAAGGGAAATAATGATGTCACTTTGGCAACTTTTAGAGTAGTGTGTTTTTTTGGTTTTTTTTTGAGATGGAGTCTTGCTCTGTAGCCTAGGCTGCAGTGTAGTGGCGCGATCTCGGCTCACTGCAACCTCCGCCTCCTGGGTACCAGTTCAAGCAATTCTCTTGTCTCAGCCTTCCAAGTAGCTGGGATTATAAGAACATACCACCATACCCAGCTGATTTTTGTATTTTTAGTAGAGATGGGGTTTCACTATGTTGGGCAGGCTGGTCTTGAACTCCTGACCTTGTGATCCACCTGCCTCAGCCTCCCAAAGTGCTGGGATTACAGGCATGAGCCAACATGCTTGACCTGAGTAGTTTGTTTCATACTGGGCATTACCTTTAACCCCTCTGCCCCATTTATTATACAAATTTTACTTTGAAAATGCCATTTCAAAAGAAAATTTTGTTGTGACAAAACATAAACATGAGCAATGAAAGAATTAGACAGTGAACATCCAGGTATCCATCACTCACTTCCAACAGTGAACACTTTACTCCTCCTGCTTTCTCACATCTCTTGTCATCTGTCCCTCCCTCTACCCAATCATCCAATCATCTTGATTTTCTGTGGCATTTCACTAAACATTTCAGTACACAGATCATTAACTAGAATTCAATATTTATTTACAAGGTTTTTTTGAGGTAGGTACAGTATGATGTACAAACTATGTACATTTTGGTGGATTTTGGCGAATATACACAACTGTGTAACCCAAACAACTCTCAAGACCTGGAATGTTTCTAGCATCTCAGATTGCTCTCTCATGCCCATCCCACCAATCCCTGCCCCATTTTCCCAAAGGCAATCATTATTATGATATATATATTACCCTAGATTAGTTTTACCATTTTAGGATTTCCTATAGATACAATCATGCAGTGAAAAAAAGGTGTGCAGAGCTTTTTCACTCAGTAAGGTGGTTCGGAGATTCATTATGATGTTGTGTGTCTCTATTGTAGTTTGTTCCTTTTTCTTGCTGAGTAGTATTCCATCGTAGTCATATACCACTGAGCACAATTTTAAGAGAAATAGAATATGCACCAAAGAACGCCAGATAAGAGTTTCCAAGATAATGAGATGGTGGTGGTTGCAGAGACCTGAGACATTTTACTATAAAAAAGAGCACATTTAGGAAAGGACATGAGAACTACCTTCTACTGCTTGAGGCAAGAATCAGCAAACATGCTCTGCAATGGACTAGATAGTAAATATTTTAGGCTTTACTGGGCCGTGTGGTCTTTTTTCAACTGCTTAATTCCAACCTTATTGTAAAGTAAAAGCAGCCACAGACAATATGTAAATGAAGTGTGATTGTGCTCCAATAAAACTTCATTTACGGACACTGAGATTTAAATTTCATGTGATTTTCATGTGTCACAAAATATTATTCTTCTTTTGATATTTTTTCCAGCCATTTGAAAATTTGAAATCCATTCTTAGCTCATGGCCTATATAAAAACAGATGGTGGTCCAGATTTGGCCTATAAGCCATAGTTTGTCAATCTCTGATATAAAAGGACTGTCAAATGGAAGAAGGAATAATTATTCTGTTTAGGACTAGTGGGCAATATGAAGACTAAAGGGGCAGCTTTTGCTCAGAAAACTGAAGATCTTTCTATTAATTAAAGTAGTGTTGAGGCCGGGCACAGTGGCTCCCTTCTGTAATCCCAGCACTTTGGGAGGCCAAGACAGTTGGATCACTTGAGGTCAGGAGTTCGAGACCAGCCTGACCAACATAGAGAGACCCTGTCTCTACTAAAAATACAAAGTTAGCTGGGTGTGGTGATGCATGCCTGTAATCTCAACTACTTGGGAGGCTGAGGCAGGAGAATCGCTCGAACCTGGGAGACGGAGGTTGTAGTGACCCAAGATGGCGCCACTGCACTCCAGCCTGGGCAACAAAAGCGGAAACTCCTTTAAAAAAAAAAAAAAAAGTAGTGGACTCTAATTCCCTACTTTGTCTCCTCTCTCCCTTGCCCCTATTGGTAGCATAGGATTAGTAAGACAGGCTCCAGGGATAGTCTGTTTAGTTCAATTGTCCAGCTCTTCCCAGACTAGCTGTGTGATCCCAGCAAGTTAGTTAACTCTTTTCTGTTTCCATTGATTCATCTATAAAATAAGAGAAATCATACATTCCACCTCCTAGAGGCATTTTCAAGATTTAGTAAGTTAAGTGTCTGTGAAGTCCTAGGAACAGTGCTGATTCACAATCAGTACTCAATATACTTAGGACAGTGTCTGGCACATAGTAAGTATGAAATATATGTTTATTATTATCATTATTATTGTCATTCTTTTTATCATTGAGAAGCCGGACAGACGTGTGAGAATTTTGTTGAAGGAATTCCTACTTTTCATAGTAGGCTGGACTAACAGATGCTTAGTTGCTTTCCTGTTCTAATCATCAGCATTCTCTTCAATTTAGTGCCTTATGCTCTGACCCTGAGGCTCACTGTTGTTGAAATCTGAGAAGAAATAACATAACATTCTAGTCATTAATATCAGCATAGCCTACATAATAAGGTAAAAGTACAGTTGGACCTTCCACATCCACAGCTTTAAACAACCACAGATTTTAAAAAATTGTAAAAAAAAAAAAATGTAATAATACAACAATAAAATGAATACAAATAAAAATACAGTATGACAGCCATTTACATAGCATTCACATTGTATTAAGTGTTGTAAGTAACCTAGAGATGATTTAAAGTATACAGGAGGATATGAGTAGGTTATATGCAAATACTATACCGTCTTATATAAGGGACTTGAGCATCGGCAGATTTTGGTATTGAAGGGGGTTCTGGAACCAATCTCCTGCAGATACAGAGTGATGGCTGTGTATTTTGTTTCTGCTTGATTTCTCCTTACTCTGGGTCTTGGACCCACCTCTCAGGAGATCTGATTGATGATAAGGCCTTATGTGGATGATGACTAGTTGTAATGCTACTTTAAGTTTTTCTCCGTATGAGAAAGTGAGAGGAGTAGTGATCTTTGCTTTGTTAGGGGAAATGTGTCAAAACATTAGGCAAGCATTAATTTTTCCTAAGAGCTTTATTCACATATTGGGCAATGCTGGATAACTGGATAGTTGTGTGTATTAATGGAGGTAGGTCTGGATGTCCTGTCATATTGTGGGACCGGTGCTCCAAGCCTGTTATGATTGCTGCTGCCTGTTGAGAACAGGGGAATTCAGGTAGAGCTGACTGTGCCAGATTGCCATTTGCAGCCCCTCATCTCCCAGTTAAAACACTTAAACTAGATTGTTGTGTTTACTTGGTCTCTGAAATATATTTTCCCAAGTCTGATTATTTTACCTTCTTTTTCTCTGTTAGCTGGCTGGAATGATGGCCCTATTTCTAGATGTGGTAAGCACGATATAAAATCACAAAATGGTACTAGCAGAGGCCTGTGGGATTATTTATGTCAACATTTTCATTTTCCACATGAGGAAACCAAGGCACAGATAAGAGAAACTTTATGCTTCCAGTCTAGTGCTGTTTGTATTATGCCAGATTCATCTTTGACTCTAAGCAGGATCAGATGTAGGGTGTGTTGCAGAAGGTGGCAGGAAGGCCAGACGGAGGTGAGCCCCACCTTCATGCCTACGATGTAGAGTTTTGGCATTATTTCCAAATAAATATATATAATAACTGGAAGAATACTCTCTATTATACTGAACATTCTCAGAAAACATTATAAATATCAAATATTAAAACCTAATTCATTTTTTTAAAAAATCCTGTTTGGGGATGTCTTTATTATCTCATATATTGGAATCTCAAATCGTGGCATTGGTCTCAGCCTTTCTGTAACTCACAAAAGCCCTGCTGATGAGAAAGTGATACCCTAGTATTTACATGAGCGTTTAAACATTTAGACATCCTCGTGAACAGATGATTCCAGGAAGAATGGCTGGTAGGACACTAATCAACATCAAGGCGGGCCTTGATTGATCCTAGATGATAAGTTAAAAACAAGGCCAACATGGACATGAAGAAAGAACAATAGAAGGGAAGAAATACTAGATAGTGAAAAGGGAGAAAAGAAGAAAAGAAGGATGTAATGTATCCTGGCAGTTCCCAAGAAGTTAACGTGGCAGAGGAAATGCAAAGCTCTCTAATGGGGGTGAGGCGCCTAGTCTTTTGACTGAAATAGAAATGGGGGCTTTTCCCACTAACTCCAACATCACTTAATAAAGCCCGTTCAATAGTCTCATGTGTTTTTGAAGCATGAATGGATTTGAGTTGACTCTTACTGTTTTCTAGCTTGACTCAAAAGATGGTTTACAGCACCGGAAGTCCCAAGGTTTCACATACACAATGTCATGAGAGTTATTAATTTTTGAAGTTAAGATTATTGCCTCCTTACTGACTTTCTGAACTCATTGGATTTAGTAACTACTGCTTTGAAGGCAAATATTTACTTTGCATATTAAAAAAAACCACTTTGTTTAGTATGTAAAATGACATACTGACATTAACTAAATTCACAACGAAGCTGAATTCCTCTAAAAATGTTATATTTATAAAATTGGAAAACTGTTTCACCCCTTTGCGTTTAATACCTATGCTAATGCCTTGCTCATTCATTTTTTAAAAATCAATTTTAAGGAGAATAAAGAATTCTGCTGCAAAAATAAGTTGAAAGTCTAAAACTTGTTTATTGCAGTAGAGGCTCCAAGATCACACACGTCCATTAGAGGTATTCAGTGCAGGGTCACTGGAGGGTCGGCAAGAGACAGCCAATTAGATGTCTGTTTTTCCTTTCAAAGTCCTGTCTGTTTCCTTCACTCTCTTCAAAACACCCTAAGTAGATATATATATCATGAGGTCAAAGCAAAAAAAAAAGAAAAAGAAAAAGAAAGACAAAAAGAAAAAAAAGAAAGCCTTAGAACAGTGGGAGTTTTATTATCCAGTAGTCATGTATTTTAAATGCCCATCATTATCAAGAGGAAAAACGAAGCTCAGCGTCTTATAAGAAGATGTGATACGAAGTAGAATACTATTCAATTTTATCTAAATTTAGGCAGGAAAAGCCTACTGAATGCAATCCTTGGTTTCCCACCGTGGAAGATAGATGACTTCAAAGTTGTAGCAAAAGTATTTGTTTAGAGTGGGGAGGATCAAGACTTTCTGGTATTTACAGTGAAAAAACAGCAACAACCCAGCCTATCTTTTAGAAAAGGAATGCATGGTTAAATTGGCTCAGCTTGTCCTTAGCAACCTGAACTCAGAGGCCACATTTTTTCCTCTCTAAGAAGCAAGTGGGAACTTGAAAAGTATGTAGCATGTCGTGAAGAGGGAGCAGTGAACTTTGCCCAGTTCTGCAGCCAGCACTGAAATCTGAACCTTCTGTAGTCCCAGGAATGGTGTCCCTCCACCACCACCCCCCATCGTTCCTTTTTAAACGCTGTGCACAGACCACCTTAGCAAACTACCTTGGCCTGGAAGCAGCACAGTTGTGACCTCTAAGAGAAAACCTGTTCTCTAAGTAACTCTGATGCCATTAAGAAGGAAATGCTAATGACAACAACAAAAAACCCCCACTAAACCCAACTTTATAATTATGATATTCAACCTTGTGTTTTATAATATGTATGGAGAAAATATAGTAAGAGTTGGTTTTGTTGCATTCATTTTAAAGATACCTTTAGAAGTTTTGGAGGTTCCCCATGTAGATTACCACTGGTTGGAAAAATTTTTCTTACCTTGTTGGGGGAAGAACATCATTAAAAGCCCTGAATGTAGGCAGCTTGCTGTATGAATCTTTTCACAACAGTAAGTTACTTGGTAACTTGAGCTGCACTCGTGCCTGAAATTCTTTCACATAATTGAAGATTAACTTGATTCCCCGATTGTTGAGGGTGGTTGACAGTGTGGGGCTCGGTGGGTGGAAATAGATTATTCAAATCACAAAGAAGTAGGTGTGCCCTAAGTGACTGTTCCATTACTGATCATGATTGTTTGCCTTCCTAAGTATTCGTCAAACTCGGTGCTGTGGGATCGTGTGGGGAGGGAGGAGAGTACACTGCCAATGTTCAGAACACAGGTGAACCTCAGAGAAACTTAAATATTTTGTAAAGAGACTTATATGTACTAATAGCTACTCCAGAATCCATTAACACCCAAACAAGCCGACTCAAGGGTTCTGGCTTTCTCAAGTGGCTAATGTAAACAATATGAAAGTCAATAGTCGGGGACATTCCAAGATAGTATTAGCACGATTGATTTATTGATGGTTGCACAGTGGGAGGTTATCTTTTGTTAATTGACTCAGTAAATAAGCTCCCAGGCGTCAGTGCATAGGGGGAAAAGCAACCAGTGGAGGAAAAGGTGAGCCACCTGGATTATTATTTTTTTTCAACCCCCAGCCTGTCTTGGTAAATTTCATACCACTTCCTCTGTCAACCTCAAACACAGTTTAGCAATTTTAATTCTGGCCAAAACTCTGCCTCCATGTTTCATGAGGGGAAGACTCAAGTGTGGTATGTTCCTATCAAACAGTCAAACTATCTATGTATCTATGTATCTTTTAAAAAGCATTGCTTCAGGAAGATATGAAACAATAGTAGGAGAGAGAGAGGGAATTCACTGACTTGGGTTATTTATTAATACAAATCCAGAAATGGCGGGAAAGATGCATGCATGATCTTGTAACCTCCAAGAAGTTATTGAATCATGGAGAACCATGGGGGTAATACATTGTTTGCTGTTAACACTTATTTATGCAGCATTTCTTCATAAAGACTACTAGAATTTGGTACCTTTTCCTTCTAGGAGAAAGGGGGAAAGAAAAACAAATGCTTTATAAGGCCAGGCATGGTGGCTCACACCCATAATCTCAGCACTTTGGGAGGCCGAGGTGGGCAGATCACGAGGTCAAGAGTTCGAGACGAGCCTGACCAAAATGGTGAAACCCCCTCTCTACTAAAAATATAAAAATGAGCTGGGCGTGGTGGCCCACACCTGTAATCCCAGCTACTTGGGAGGCTGAGGCTAGAGAATTGCTTGAACTCGGGAGGCGGAGGTTGCAGTGAGTGGAGATCATGCCACTGCACTCCACCCTGGGTGACAGAGTGGGACTCCTTCTCAAAAAAAAAAAAAAACTTTATAAATTTTGACCAATTCCTAGTACAGCAGTTCCCCTTATCCGCAGTTTTGCTTTTCATGGTTTTAGCTACCTGTGGTCAATCACAGTCTGAAAATATTAAGTAGAAAATTCCAGAAATACACAGCTCCTAAGTTTTGAATTTCACATTGTTCTGAGTAGATGAAATCTTCTGCCATCCTGCTCTGTCTCGCCTAGCCAGTGAATTGTCCGCTTTGTCCAGTGGATCCATGCTGTATGCCCACCCCTTCCCTTAGTCACTTAGTAGCCATCCCAGTTATCAGAATGATTGTCACAGTGCTTGTGTTCAAGTAATTCTTATTTCACAAAGAATGGCCTCATAGTGCAAGAATAGTGATGCTGGCAATTTGGATATGCCAAAGAGAAGCCACAAAGTGCTTCTGCTAAATAAAACGGTGAAAGTTCTGGACTTAATAAGAAAAAAAAGTATCCTGATATTGCTGAGATCTACAATAAGAATGAATATAGTATCCATGAAACTGTGAAGAAGAGAAATCTGTGCATAGTATGTACAGGGCTCAGTGCTGTCTTCAGTTTCAGGAATCCACTCAGGGTACTCCTCAAGGACAAGGGGAGACTGCCGTATTATATCTGCTGAAGTGGGACCTCCTGGATCGATTCCTAACACTTTGAACTTGGCTAGATTTTTTTTTTTTTTTTTGGACTTTTACACTTTCATCA